CAACATGCCCGAATTATATCCAACCATCAAAAATTTAAGCAAGTGCTGTTTCGAAATACCAGTAATGTCTGATGCAACGCACGTGTCTACTATACTAATCCAATCTTCCATCGTATCGAGGAAAATACATTTGGGAGGCTTTTTGTGGGATTGCTCTATGAGCTCGAAGAACTCGTCCATAGTATAAGCGTCCATGTCTTTGAATTTCTTTGAGAAAACGCTGAAAGTAGCGTCAACGTCAGTATGGGTATGTCCCACCAGCATAAAACCTATTTCTACCTCTTGAAAAATTTTGAACTTAACCAAGAGTGCAGCTAGCGCACATATGTACTTGTTCTTGTTTTCCCGCCAACAATTATCTGCTTGAATGCGCAAAAACGGTGGCAGTGGCGTCCCACTCCCTTGAATTTCGACAAGGGTTCTCATAACACAAGTAGCGACCATGTTCGAATCGTGTTTGAAATACGGAAACCACATGTATACATATATACTAGGGTCTCTACCGTGTGCAATGACGCCTGTCAGATTCGTCTTCATCATCATCTCGTGCCTAAGCGTTTTCGAGTAGTTTGCTTGACCATTGTGCGGGATAGTTGTCTTCTTCTGATCCATGCCGTCAATGATGAGACACAAACGCTCGTTCGGACGAACCATCGAATCAGTTTTCGCTCGACTGTAGTCCAATCTGTGTTCAACTTGCCTCCTTTGATGAGCTTGCATATCCTCTCGAGCTTGTTCTTGATCTCGAGGAAGAGCAGCATATTGTATACGTTCCTTCAATTCATGACAGACGGCGCACTTCGTGAACGTGTTAGACTGCGCGAGGGAAACGTGAAAAAAGTGTTTCCGCCACAATTTATAAAAGTTGGACTCCGACACGACAGCGAGGCCAGCGGTCAGAAAGTCTGATTTGATGGACTCATAAATTGATCTCTTCATGAAAGCAGTCGGGAGTCGAAGCTTCGGTCTGGAAACCCCACCTTGGTTAGCCACCTCATTCGGCATGCTATCCGCATGACACTCGATGAACGTTCCCATGCTGGCAAGCATGGCGACCGTTTTATTGGTTGGCCAATATCTTCCCGTCAGGCCATGCTCGGAACGCACGTATCCATTGTCGAAACGCTTTTTGTAGCTGTATAATGTATTACGCGAGACACCGAGTACATTGCAGTACGCCTTGACGCACATCGAACGTTGCAACTCAACAGGGCGGACACGTTTCTGTCCACCCTCATTTACTGTGAAATCCTTAATACTGTTCATCCACCACTCAGCTCGTTCTACCGGACACTTACTGTACAGTCCTTGTCTAACCTTTCGCACTTCCTCAGGTGACACATCATAACAACATCAAGCCTTGCAATATACCATGCCGCGCACCATGAGCAGTCTTTTTTCGGACAGCATGTTTCTCGCTCTTTTGTACTGTTCTTTCCTCCTAGCGTTCCTATTAGCCATGCTATACGTTCGTTTTTCGCCTGGCAGAGGTGCGGGCAAAATCTATAGTATCGCCCTTGTCTCTACATCACCCCTACCAGACGTTTTCGTCCTAGACTGACTCTGTATTGGAATGGCATCATCACTTCGCACTTGCGTTGGACTCGCCCGTGCTGTGGAAAGTTCCCCCGAAGAATAGTCGGTGGCAACCAACTTCGTACTACCGGAGCTAGCGCGAAACAAAGGTCCAGTGGAAGAGGACTGTTGTCCAGAAGAGTAATCAGTGGCCACCAACTCCTCACTCTCGTCATCAGATGTTGCGTAAGAAGCACCCATTGGCACGCAACTGCTGTGCGCCGAAGTTCTGGGGTGCACAACGCCAGGAATGTGGAACTCGATCCGGGAGGCAGACGGATCTTTGCCCGCGGACGTTGTCGCCAAATCCGTAGGCAGTTGGATGCAACCTCCAAAGCTCTCACGAAAAGCGATCTTAGGCGGTTTCGATGCTGTTATACCCGGTGATCTGTGGCCGTTCGATGCCAGAACGACGCTAGCTGGTGTTGGGGTGTTGCCCTGTAACCTGCTGATGCAGGAGTGTGAGGCCTGGTAGAGAGATCTGGGGATGCTTTGGGGTGAGCATCCCAAGGGACGACCAAGGGTTGTTGCTGGGATGGCGCTGGTCGGAGCTGGGGCGAGTTGTGTTGCCTTGTAACCGGAAGGGTGGGGGCATGAGGTTTGGAAGAGCTCAGCAAGGAGTGAGACGGCGTTGAGAAGTCTTAGAAGGGTTTGTCAGGGAACCTGAGGGTAGTGAGCATTCGTAGGACCTCTGTGGCAGGTTATTGCATGAGTAATTCCCTAATAGGTCATTAGATACTCAGGATCCTCCCCATGTTTCTGAATCTCATCGTGTTCACAAATTGTTCTTTGTCGAAGCCGGATAATGGCCTCGGTATCTCAAATGACCTCAAACGATCTCAAATGTTATCAATGATCTGTATACTTCGATATGGGACGTTGGGCCCGATTCCCAGCACGTGTTGCTCCCCACGATTAGACTGGAGCACTTGTTCAAAAAAAAAAAAAAAAAAAAAAAAAAAGATTATTAGAACTTGATCTGAACGTTTCTGATAGAAGTACCGACGGATTGATGCTGGCATGTTTGAACTCAGGTCAATACTGAAATTGGAGGCCCCCTGTTGCTGACAGTATTGTCGAGCGTGAGTGAGCTTGCTAAGGGCTATATTTATCCGTTTTCGAGGGTCTTCGAAAAGTTTCCAGATGCAGGGGCTATGCAATTTCCCACCTAGTCTCTACATGTACGACAAAAACTCAATGAAACAATACTAATCCTTTATCTCCTCAACCATAATGCCCCTCACTGTTGTTTGTGGCCTTCGAATCTGTCAAACACGTCATCCTCCCAACCATTATTTTTATCTTGACGTAGAGTGCAAGAAATTACAAGGGGCTTCTATCCGTGATGTCGCATATGCTTGATTACGATTGCTTTGTCTCCCTCGACTAAACCTTTGTGACAGGCACTGCAAGTGAGACGTTACCAAGGGCCACAATGCCTAATCCTCTGCCCTTTGTCCCTTTGACAATTTGTTTCCTGTCAAACCCATGTTTTCAACCGAACTTCATGGGTCACCGCAGATAGCGGACTGCAAGCGAATAGAGTCGCTAACTGAAAGGTTCATTACAGGGATCAGTTCCAATTACGAACCAAAGAGGATTATTTCTCAAATGAGACACAACATAAAAGCGGGCAGGTCCCCAATTACGAATCAAGTATCGTATGCAAGACATCTGGTCCAGTCGTCCCTCTCTTACTATTCTGAGCTTAGTAAAAACAAT